TTTTTTTGTTTTTTTTTTTTTTTTTTTTTTTCTTTTTCTTTATTTTTTTTTTTTTTTTTTTCCTTTGGGGGGGGGGGGGGCTTCGGGGAAATATTAGGGGTCTGAGGAGAGTTGAGATGTCTGCAGTAGAAAGAAAGCTACGTTCACACCTAGCGTTTTGTTGCGCTTTTTCTGCCCTAGAAAAGAAACGCCCAAAACAAAATCCCATTCATTTCTATGGCCATGTTCACATCTGGGCATTTTGTCGCTTGTAGCAAAACGCCCGTTGCTGGAAAAAGTACGTGAGCTTCCTTTTGGCAGATAGAGCCCTCATTCACACCTGAGCGAAATCGAATATGCACGTTTGCAGCGCGTTTTGTGTAGCACGTTTTGCGAATTTTCTTGCACAAGGCACAACTTAATGTATGCACATGAAACGTGCGTAGAAATCAACGAAAACACTGGCGCCTAGGTGTGAATCCAGCTTAAATCAAAATCAAAATACACTGGTAGAAGTTTGTCCATTTTTTAATGTACCAGCTGAAATTCGCGCAGTGTGTGGGGCTGTCGGCTCCCTTTCATTCCTCGATCAGCTGATCGAAGGAGCTGGCTGCAAAATTTTCGATCGATCAGAGCGGGCAGCCAATGAGCTGCCCGCTCTGATCGGGTATTCTGTCAGAATACAATGCACACAGCGGGATTCCTCGATCTGTTTGTGCTGATGGAGGAATTGGGTCAATTTTTTTTCGTTCAGCCCACGGGTTGAAAGAAAAAAATTGATAGGTGTATGGCCAGCCTTGGACTTCTGTTTTTATCACATCACATCTACTACATGATACTATCATCCGTATCAGTCTGGCACTGCAGTGCGCACAACACATACTGTATATGCCATTGTACAGAAGTGGGTTTTCTGCTGTGTTTGCAGCATGTGTTTGTGTCCACAGCATTCCTGCAGCTGGATTCATAGGTGGCTACAGACAGTTGATGCTGTTGAGCCTGACAGGCTGACTGCAGTCACAGCTGTCCACTGGTGTTTGAATGTAAGCACACGTGGAGCAATTAACTCTGGAGCGATTACTTGCAGGACGGATGTTTGCCCTCCCCGGACGCAAGCTGTTTTCCTGCCAGTGCTTTGTGCAAGCTCAGCAACCACAACTAACTGCTAGTGATATGCAGAGACTTGGTGTGAACCCAGTTTGCCCAAGCCCTCTGAAAACTGTGACTGAAACCTCTCTCCATTCCAATCACTTGCAGCCCCAGCACAGTTTAGCCTGTTAGACACGCTTACATAAAGACACACGTTTTCTTAAGCAGACTGAAATGCATTGTGGTGAGTGAACTGTGCAAAACTCTTGTGTTATGCATTTCCAGGCATTTCCATCGAAGCCGATGCGGCCAAACGTGCTGTAATCTGTCAAAAAAAAAAAAGCTCATGTACTGTTTCTAGCGTTTGACGTTTTACAGCTTGCGACAAAACTCTCATGTGTGAACAGGAACCATTAAAATGAATGGGATTACTTGTGTTGAAAGTTTTGTTGCGCTTAGTGTTGAGTATCAAAACGCCTAAGTGTGAACAGGGACTGTAATATTCAAATCTCAATGGACTCTACTGCAAGAATTTCCACTTTTTTTTAAAATATGGATACATTGAGGGGAAGATATCAAAACTGGAGCAGACAGAATGTAGAGCAGCTGTACATGGCAATCAATTAGCTTCCTTCTTTCATTTTCAAATTTTAACCAAACTATAGGGAAGAAAAGCTGATTGGTTACTAACACAAACTGCTCCAGAATCTGACTGCTCCGGTTTTGATAAATTCCCCCCTCCCCCAATGTGGGTAATTTATAAACACTAGAGCAGTTGCCCACGTCAACCAATCAGCTTTTCCATTTCATTTTTAAAGCTTAAAGGAGAACTATGAGGTGAGTGTAGCTGACTCAGCCTCATAGTTCGAGCCGACGTGGACGTCGGCTCAATAGATCGGGAAGTGAGCAAACACATACCGTCGCTCGCTCACTTCTCGATCCTGTCCCTGCAGAGAGCCGTGACTGTCACGGCTCCCTGCAGGGATTCCCCCCTCCCCTGTCCGATCCACTGAATGGCGGAACGGACGGGGCGGGTACAGCTTGCTTTGCCTCTAGATAGGCAGAGCCAGCTGTCAATCACGCAGCTGGGTGGATCCAGACAGTAATGTCAGGATCCGTCCCGGCTGCGGCAGTCTCAGTATACCGCGAGCTGTAGCTTTGGGTCACGGGAGGACGCTAGTTTGTGTCCTCCCGTGACCCCGGGGAGAACTATGCGGAAAAGCACTGATCCCATAGTTCTCCTTTAACTGAACAAACTAAAGAGATAAGCTGATTGGTTGCCATGGGCCCCTGCTCCAGATTGTCTGCACCAGTTTTTGCGAATTCCCCCCCATTGTCTGATGAGTTAGCTTTGTGAACCAAGCCCTACATCAAATAAAGACTCAGCAGTCCTTTCCACACAGAGAACTGTTGACACACTCCTTTAATACAAAGAGCTATCCGGTTCCAATTTTTTAATAGCTGCTGGGAGCTCAGCCTAATATTCCCGAGACAGCAGGACTGAATAAAAAAAAAAGAATAACAGTTCTTCGCGGTGCATACTGGGAAGTGTAGTTCGCAGCTGATCGTCACGTGTCACGAGGAGGCCCGTGATTGGCTAGAGAGCTGACACGTGGTGGGAGAGGTCGGAAATCCACATTGCAGAAAGAGATCAAGACAGGCAGGATGGCTCTAAGATTGTTTATAACAACGGTGACCGGTTCACGGGAGGTGAGGCGGGAGCGGGCGCTTTGCATGGCTGTCATTTGTCACTGATGCGCGTGCATGTTAAATATGCTGCAAATTGTCTTGTTGGGAGTTGTCAGTGCGCGGATGCTGCAGGTCGTGTTGCAACATCGTATCAGCTGTATAATATTTCGGTAGCGCGCATCTTAATGGTTCATTCTATTGTAGCCATCTGATCTCAGTCATCCATAGCAATGTAACACCTGCCACCAATCACTATTGATTTTGCTGATGCTGGTGACATGTCATATTGATTGATTGATACTAGCATCATTGCTCATATGCAGTGTACTTTGTCCTATTGACTTTTCCTGCATTTTCATCCTGTGTACCAAGAATTGTGAAATACCCTAATTACGACACTGCAGGCTTCTGACTTATGAATCGCAGTAATTGCATGCTTGGGGCCCCTGACACCACATGCATTAGACTGAGCTGGGCATATTGCGCTGAGCAAAGTTTTATCATAAAACCGGAGCAGACAAAATCAATTGGCAACCGATCAGCTTCTCTCTTCCTTTTTCAAAGCTTAACTGAACACATTAAAGATAGAAGCTGATTGGTAGCTATGGTCAACTGCTCCAGATTCTGTCTGCTCAGTTTTTATGAATTTTCCTCCCCCTGTTCTATGAAAGTTTGTGACTACGTTCGAATGTGTGACCGGTAACGTAATCCCGCCCAGTTTTTCAGCGGTGGAATGTGTGACCACCAATAGGGGAAGCATTCCAATGCTTCGTCAGCTGTTTCAGGGCAGATCGGCATCGCAGATCGTATGTGCAAGAGAACCGATGTGCAGGAGAACTGATCGGTCCTGAAATGTCATTTCTATCTGATTTTGTGAGTAGAGTGGAATGTGAGATCGCACTCCCAAAGTCGAATAGAAGTGACATTTCAGGATCAATCAGTTGTTCCAGGGCAGATTAGTTCTCCTGCACATACCATCTGCGATGCCAGTCTGCCCTGGAACAGCTGAGAAAGCATTGGAATGCTTGACCTATTGGCGGTCACAAATTCCACCACCGAAAAGCTGGGCGTGATTACGTTAAAATGTGAGACCACGTGACCGGGCACACATTCCAACATAGTCACAAACTTTGATAGAACACCCCCAAATCGCCATGTTTACTATGAAGTCAGTCCACATCAGTGCGTTTATAATTTGTCTGCACTAAAAAAAAATTACTTTCAGTTCAGGGTTTTGGGACTAGAGATGATCCTGGACTTGGCCTGGTTTGCCCTGGCTCTCCCAAAATGTGACCGCCAATCCCCCCACCTGACCCACTCAGTAGAGGCAGTTGCAGCGGGAGTATTCCCGTCCCTTTGTGACATATACCTGTAGGGCGGGAAAAGCTCCTCTCCGCAGCAGATTGGGTTGTGGTGCAGTACAGCATATCGCAACGTGCTGTGGTGAATAGAACAGACTGAAATATCATACCGCATTGTGCTAAAATTAGCGCATTGCGTCAGTTTCCTTAAGCACGCAAGGTTGTGGGGTAGTGCAAGCTGATGGTGTGGACAAAGCCTAAGGGATCTGTTCATAATTGTTTTCATACAACTGTCACCCAAGATTCCCTCAATTTTCCAGTTCACTCCAATTCGAAAAATGTGGGAATCCCTTTTTGTATTGAGAATCCCCAACCCTCTTCGTCTGTAATCACTTTAGTGTTTGCTGCATTGTCCGTTTTCTTCCTAATATTTTTCCTTCCTCTTTTTCTGTCCGCCCTCTGCAGCCATAACGGCGACATCCTCATTTAGTATTTGCTCTGTCTTATTTTCCTCATGCACTTCCTTTTCTACTCTCCTCTCTTATCTATGGCTACATTCACACTTGCCACTTGCATTATTGTCCTCCTATATACAGAGGAAAATCTGTCAGGCTAGATAATGTGTTTATGCTTCTAGATGCTTTAAATGACACTCGTTGTCATTCATATGTGTTTACATGTATCTGGTTCCAAATCCTAGCATCAAACCGTGTTTACAAGCGTTTCGTTGTGTTTACAAGTTCAGCTCTATTCCTAGATGCACCTGACTGACGCATCTAATTGCACATAGTGTGAATGTAGCCTAAAGCCATTTTTTATTTTTACTTTTGGATAGAGTGGTGAGGGGTTAGAATCTTTCTAAAGTTTGTATTGCTGTCTGTGTCCTGTTGGGGAGGGCTCATTCACACAGGCAGCGAAAACACTGTTGATCTGCATTTTTTCCAACGCCTACCTAAACCTTTAAATAGTGGCTGCAGAGGCTTGTACATATGCCGTTGCCATGTGGTAGACAGCATGTCGAGTTTGGCAGGTGGAGGCACTTGCCAATCACGACCATTTTAATGAATGGGATCACACTGCATTGGTATTGCAATACAAAATTCCTTCTGAGAAAAAAAAAAACCCGGCATTCAGGAGACGGCAGTATTGGAGCTCAGCAAAGCTGGCCCCCCTCCAATCGGCACAAAAAAAACTCCAGTGTGTTTCTTTAGTGCTACGCTTGTGCTGTAAAAATGTACATTTGACTGCCCCCCCAAGCAGTGGAACGCCAGGGTCCAGTCGCAACTGCGACTCTGGTAGTTCCACCACTTGGGGGTGCCCGGACAGGAGGAAGAGGACCCTGTTAACCGCCTCAGCTCCCAGCAAGCAGCAGGCCAACCCTCCGCAGCTCCTTCCTGTGGCGGTGGGGGGTTGGGGGGGGCCTTCATGGTTTCTTGCATCGGGGCCAAAACTTTCTAGTTACTCGTCTGCGGGTGACCTTTTAATAAATAGTTACCAACTCGAAAATGAGATAGAATGGAAACTTAAACGGGGCACTATCCATCCAGCCCGGTTTCATGTCTGTTTGCTGTTGTAGGGGGGTTGGGTGATGTAAATAAAAAAAATAAAAATAATTGCTATTATCTTAAAAATAAAAGCAGCACAAATGTTAATTTTTATGGCACAAAACAGCACAAATGTAACGCTAAGGAAACACACTGGGGTTTTTACTTGTGCCGATTGTAGGGGGGCCAGCTTTGCTGAGCTCAGTATTGGGATACATAATATGTGTGTTGAGCGCACGCTATTGCACCGTACATGGCATTGCATACTAGACTTTCTGGTGTGTTGCATTGATCTTGATTCTTAATGGTGCCAGGTGTGTCTTGTGTTGCCGTTCAGTGAGAAAAAGTAATGCACGCATTATTTTGCTCACGCAATGCAACACATTGTTGCACGGCGCTGTAACAAACACCTGGCACCATTGAGTGCATTGAGAATCAATATCAACGCAGCAGTGGCAATGCACTAGTATGCAGTGCCATGCCCTAGCAATGGATCCAGTGTGCTTAGCATGATGTTATAATGTGAACAGGCCCTAAATCTTTCATTTGGAGACATCTGTTCTGGAAACTGTCCAAGGGCCCATTTACACCAGCACTGTTTACTTTTTGTTGTTTTTTTTTTTTTTTTAGAACATAATAAAAATGTCACAAGGAACATGTCATTAAGTTCTACAGGCATGCGAGGCAGTTGTACTGCGTCACATCCTGCTGCGCTGAATAAAGTACAGCACGCAGTACTTTTTTTTTCCGAGCCCACCATCACAACAAGTTGGTGTGAACTGCGCCCATCCATGACAAGGCAAATTGCCTTCTCTTGCTTTGGGGCCGTGCTGGAAAAATCAGACCGCGCAGCCCCATCTGGTGGGAATGGACCCTATCGGTAACTTCCCTCATTTTGTAGAGATTCTTTTCACTTTCTGTTGAGTCTCTGGGACAAGAAGTGAGGGGAAATCTCCCCAACTGGGCACAGACAGCTGAATATAAACTGACAGGGATCAAATCCTTCCATAAAAGGAGAAATGTTAGTTTTGTATACACTTTAAGCCAACTTTCCCAGTAGAAAAGTGATGATTTGTATTTGGCGAACTTCTAATACCCAAATATTTGATTCACTTGAATGTTTGATGGCAGATCTGCAGAGAATGATGGTATTCAGAAACCTAGACAATGGTAATCCTACATTTTATAGGAGTCTCTGCAGTTGTCCAGTTCGCTTGGGTTGCTAATCAGCTTGGATACCTCCCAATAGTATTACCGCAGCATACTTCCAGTAAATATGATTATTCTTTTTATTACTATCTAGACAAAGTCTCAGCAGAGTGAAATGACAAGGATTTTAGACTCTTGTGGCCACCCCTATGAAGTAGTGGATATAGCTGTGGACAACAGTTTCCGAACAGAAATGAGAGAGAAGTCTGGCAACCCCAACGCTCTTCCTCCTCAGTTGTTCCTGGGTGACAAATACCTTGGGGTAAGAGTTGTGATATTTCTTTTACTTTTTAGTTTGAAATTCTGAGTTCACATATTTTTTTTATGTTGAAGCAGGCTAGGCTTAGAAATTTTAAAATAGACAATCTAGCTTTGCGAATTTAGCCAGAAGCGACTGGAATAGTAATAAACTTCACCAATGTATGGAAGTCAGAGAACATGTGTGATATTTCACTGCTGACATGCATGCAGGTCTGGTCTACACTTTATAACGAATTTGGTTATATTCAAATTCTGGCCCAATCACTGAGCATTCACTGGCAGCTTCTATAGTTTATAATGGACTGCTGCCAATTCCGTGATCTTTGAATTGTCTGAAAGCTTACTATAGCCATTAGATACAAAGTGGCACCTGCAGAATACTGTGCTTATTAGGGCTGTAACGAATGATTATTTTCATACCAATATCGATTAGTTGGCTGATAATTTGTTTGATTAATCGGATAAAATAATTTAAATAAATACAATCCCTAATTTAAATTAAAATACACAAATGCAGTGTTTACAAACAAAGTTTACTTCAGAATAAAACTGAATGCACAATTTTTTGCAATCAAACTCCACTGAACCGCACAGCATTGATGTACCGTGCGTTCCAGGGTGGGCGCTCACACTGTGGGTGGGAGGCGCGTTTGGGGTGCCATTGAAATGAATGTCACTGCAACGCACCACCTGCAGCAGAATTTGTCAGGCAAAAAACGAAAATGACTTTTTTCCCACTTCTTTTTTTTTTTAAATAATTGTATTGCAAGCACATGGGGCTTGAATAGCTTCAGCCAGGAAATGGCGGGCAATATGCTGAAGACGGCAGCTGAATGTAAATGCAGCAGATAGTGGGCTGGTGCTATAGCCAGCCTGCTATTGGCCATTTCAAATTGCAATAGCAGGCTGGCTAGTGCACCCACCCACTGCTTGCTGTGCCCTCCCAGCGTGGAGGAGAGAGATAGGGGATTCAACCAACTGATCGATAATGAGAATAGTTGTCAACTATTCTTATTATCAATTAACGATTAGTTGGTTGCAGCCCTAGTGCTTATGATGCCCATGAACCCAAAAACAATAGTTGCAGAATGGCTTCCTGAAAGCAGCATAAGGGTGGGAGATGGGTAAACGTTTTAGTGTTACTGTAAATCAGGGGTAGGCAACCTCGCCGCTCCAGCTGTGCGGAAACTACAAATCCTATCATGCTTCTAGGAGTCATGTGACTCTGTGGCTGTCAGGAGTCTTGCAGTGCCTCATGGGACTTGTAGTTGCAACACAGCTGGAGTGCCCAGGTTGCCTAGCCCTGCTTTAAAAAATAGGGGCAATGTGCACTTATGCTTTCTGCCCCTAACAGATCCCACCCTCCACAGATGCAAACTTGCCAAAATCTGACACCTGCGGCCTCTTTTGTTAACATGCCGCACTGGAGTCCTCCCTCTGCTGGCTACTTTAGAGCTCTCTGGTTTTAAATGGGGTTTGCCTCCTTGGGTCTCCTGGCCAGGAGACTCGGGTAGACAGACCTCATGGAAGACTATAGGGATCTACTTTGCAGGGACAGCCAAGAAAGTGAGCACGTCAGTGTGGGATGTAAACCAACACAGGAGGCCCTGGGAGCAGGATCTCAGTAAGTATACATCTGTGGGGGGTAGGGTGGGTTCTGTTAGGTCAGGAGAGGGCGGGCAGTGTCTGAAAGTCCCCTCATTCTTTACTGTGATCAATGTGACCTTCATGCTGTTACATTCATCTGATGTTTGATATGGAAATTCTACAAAGTGTTTACTAGAAAGAAAGGCAAAGTGGAACTTGTCCAGAGAAACAGAATATCTTGCAGAGCAGGAATTTGTAGTTTAAAAAAAGCCTGGATTTTTGAAGTAAATAAATATGTTGAAATAACTTTTGCTGAAAACAACGATTATTCATCTGATCTGATTCATTTTTGGAGTTACTTCATGAATTAATTAGTGAATTGCAATGCGCATAGCAGCATTGCGAAAAACCATTATTTTACCTATCAACCTAAAGCTTGTAAAATGGAGTGATAAAAACATGTTGATTCACTTGGCAGTTACAGCACATGATTGCATTGAAGGGCATTGGCACACCTTAATTTTCATGGGGAGTGATATCTACCGCCTACACGCCACCTCTGCCAATTTTCAGTTTGCCATGTGTAAGCAGATTAAACTGGCATGCAATCTTATCTAGCAGCCTTGGTAAATAAATCTTACCTTTACTGAAAAAAAAGCACAATGATGGTTCATAAAACATGAGTCAAAGGTATCGTATTATTAGTATTTACAAGTTAAAAACTGAATGCCAGACGAGCAGCTAAATATACAGTTGAAATACAGTATGTTTATAACAGCTGTTCTGCCTGCAAGAGCATTCCTAATTCTGAGCAGCCAGTTTTTAGATCTAGGCACCCTGTCAGACAGCACAGCCAGGTCAGCCAGTAGAAAGAAAAATCTCAGTCGGTAATGGAGGGACAATGTCATTCTGTCCAGGCATGCTGAATACAGACATAGACTGTGCATCATATTTCTGAATTTGATGTTTTCACAGCGGCTGTCTATGGATTGTTCGACATGAGAGATGGAGTAATGAAGAGCTTTCAACAGCTTCTATGCACAGACACTGTTAAATGGGATAGCATCAGGAATGGCATTGGTCAACTTTAACCCCACTGAAGAAACTACCGTGTTTCCCCGAAAATAAGACATTATTTCTCAGATTCAGTACAGGAAGGAACCCACATGGCCGCTTTTTCCTTATGTCTTATTTACTTTTTTTCCCAGGACAGAGTAAAAAAATAGACCCCTGCCTACCCTACTTAGGGGGATATCTGAAACTCTACAATCTTCAGCAGAATAGGTATAGAAGGAAAATCTGGCAGTGGGAACAGCTGTCAAGTTTGAGATTTCCCCTACATTTTGGAGGTTTCTTTTCTTCCCTCGGTTGTGCCCCTTGGAGAGGAAGTGAAGAAACATCTCCCCAATAGGGGCACAGTCATGTGATCCTAACTTTTTTGAGTAGTTCTATATCCCAAATTGAGGACGTGGGAATGTTTTTACGATCTATGTTAGTGAGACGTAGAGAAATCATATTTGTGTGCACACATTCTTGGCATTCCTTTTACACCATGTCAATTGAACTGTGTTGATCCTCATAGATCAATGCAGGCTTGTTGCAAGGCCATATAGAAAACTGTTGTTTTTTATCATGTGTCCAGTTCATACCATACAATGGGGTTGCAGTGCGCTGCATAGAAAGATAGGTTAACAGATTTTGATCTAGCACCTCATGTGCACTATATGTTGCAGTACTGATAAACATCACAAGAGAGATAAATAAGCCAATTAGTGACTCAGCCCATAACACTGCAAATATAGCTCTGAAAATAATTTTCAGGCTAACCTCAGATGTCAGAAAGATAGCCTTCTCATCAAGCACACATTGATATCATGCAGATTCATCACACTTGATGGCTGCAAGCTGCCCAAGTGACCACAAACTAACATTTTCACACCCATGCTTCACAGTTTGTATTAGGTTTTTCTCCTGAAATGCTGCCTCCGGTTTGCAGTAAGCATGTCTACTGTTACTGTGGTCAAACAGCTATTTTTGATTAATCAGTCCAACAATGTTCCAGAAGGCCTGGTCTTTGCTTATATGTTTCATGGCAAGCTGTAGTCTTGCTCTAATGTTCTCTTTGTTAGCAAAAGCTTTTTTTGTTTCCTGGCACACTTCCCATGCAGGCTAAATTGCTCCAATCTTTTCTAATTGTAGATGCATTAAATTTTACAGCAACTGTAGTGAGAGTGACCTGCAGATCCCGCAATCAAAATTTGAGGTTTTTGGAGATTTCTTTAGCATCAAATGGTCAGCCCTTGGGCTGGAATGATTTGGATGGCCGGCTCCGGACAAATTAGCAGTAGTTTGCAGGCTACTTATAGATTATTTGTCTTACAGTGTAAAGATTCATTTATTAGAATCTGGTGATCTATTCAAATACTTTCCAGACCTATATATGTACATTGTGTAGGGGCAGTACGTTACAATGCAATGCTTACTGTTTTTTTTTTTTTTAATCAAAGTGTCACAAAATTAAATTCCATGCACTCCAGCATGTTGAACACACTGTGGTGCGATATGGGCTGCGGTGAGTTGCTCTGCATATAGATGCAGATATGGTGTATTTTCTTGATCACTGACACATCTATACTTGTCTGCTTGCTCCATCCTTCCCACTTTATCTAGCAATTCTCAGAACAGCAGCAATGATGGCACGCACATTGAAATGTTATGCAGTGTTCATAGTGGTCAGTGTCAGCAGATGCTAAACAAAGCTAAGAGGGAATTTCTAGTGTATTTGTAGTAAGCTGATATTTTAAGCTATTGCCGGGTTTACCTTCTTTTTATGTGACTTCCACATTTTTATAAGCGTGCTCCTCCTTATTTTTAATTGTATTAAATATAGAGATTTTTAGATTAACCTCTAGAGGGAGCTTTGTCTCATTCAACTTTAGTAGTTAACTGTTAAGATAGGTTATGAATGCCTATGGGTCTGGGAAGAGATTTAAAAATATTGCGAAATTACTTTACTTTAAATCAATCATTCCTCTGTGGGGAAATAAAAAAATCTACATTAACAAAGTATGTATGGAAGGTGTGCCAGCAAAAATGTTTGTACCTACCGTAAAATCTGTTTCTTGGAGTTCATTAAGGGTCACAGGAGTTATATATTCTGAAACTGGGTTATAATGCTGCCTTTAGGAGGAATTGGACACTGGCAAACAAAAAGCCATTGGCCAGCCAGGCATAACCCCTCCTACTCCTAGCATGCTTAAGTTCTAGATCTCAAAAATAGAGGAGAGGGACATTTGTTCATCAAGGGACACAGAAGTTGGATACTCTGAGACTATTGGGGCATCCGGAAGCCGTCCAATGGAGGAGTGAGTTACAGCAAGAAAATACTCATAGAAAGTACACATAACAAAATAGTAAAACTGGGGGCATCCTGCATCTTGGGGTGCTGCCTGAAGGATCATACGCCCGAAGTTGGCATCAGATGAGGCCTGAACACCCACCTAGTAAAACATGGAGAATGTATGAACAGATAACCAGGTTGCAGCCTTGCAAATCTGGAAAACTGCCTTCTGTCAAAGAGCCCAAAAAGCAATCAGACTTTGTAAAGTGGCCAGGAAAGGGTGGAACCTTGTCCTTAAAGGAGAACTATGAGGAGTGCTTTTCACTCACCTCATAGTTCTAGCCGACCTGTGACAATGAGACTGTCACAGGTCGGCTCAGTAGATCGGGAGGTGAGCGAACACATACCGGCGTTCGCTCACCTCTCGATCCTGTCACAGCTCTCTGCCGTGACAGGGGAGGGGCTGGATTCCCCCCGCTCCGATCCGCCAGTGCTGACTGGCGGAAAGGACGGGGGAGGGGGTGGGTACAGCTGGCTCTGCCTCTAGATAGGCAGAGCCAGCTGTCACTCACGCAACTGGGCGGATCCCGGTGCAATTGTCGGGATCCGCTTCAGCTGCGGCGTCTCAGTATACCGCGAACAGCAGCTCGCGGTATACTGTGGCATCTCAGTATACCGCGAGCTGTAGCTCGCGGTATACTGAGCTTAGGGTGACGGGAGGACGCTAGTTTGTGTCCTCCCGTTACCCTAAGGAGAACTATGGGGAAAAGCCTTAAACCCATAGTTCTCCTTTAAGACCATAGGCTTCTACAATCTGTCTGAGCTACTGACCATCAGGTATGATGAAAACGGGGTCGTTTTTTCTAATGGAACCAGTAGCTGAGAGGTAAGCTCTCGCAGCATGAACTACATCCAGTCAGTGATGAGAAATTTCTTTCTGGTGCACTGAAGCTGGACATAGAGACATAAGAACAATGTTCTGGTTAGGTGAAAGTCCAAAACCACCTTGGGAAGAAAACCAGCTCTAGACTTTAAAACAACCATATCCCTGTGTAAGACCAAAAAGTGTACTATACAGGTTATGGCTGTCGGCTCAGATGTACTACTCGCCGTGGTGATAGCAAGAAGAAATGCAACTTTGTAAATGAGAGAGTGGAAAGGGGAATATGCCTAATGGATTCAAAAGGTGGTCTTTGAAGTGCCAATAAAACCATATTTAAATCCTACAGAGTCCCAGGAGGTTGTACAGGAGGGACCATGTAAACTGCATAATGTTGATCAGAAGATGATATTTCTCCCACAACCATGTCCCCAGAACCGATAAAGATCATTTATTAAGTAATGGGCTGTTCCCAGCATGACCTTGCCTATTGAGGATGCATCAAAGAGTACTGATGAGTAAAACTGATTGATCAGCAAGCCTGATCAAATGGATACTGATCAGTAAAATCTTTTGGAGGAGTAAATAAATTACCAGGATTTGTCCTGTCTCCATACAGAACAGGTTCGAGTTAGGAGTTTATCAGAAAGGTTTTGACCTTTCGGGGACCCCAAGCTAAGAACAGCACTAATATCGGCCACAAGCTCTCACCACCAATATGAACTGATATAGTATCTTAAGGTTTTGGAGCTATATTGGCTGATTGGGGGCTATTAAGGAACAAACTCATCCAGAACAGATTTGAGACTTTGTTTTTATCCCATAGTGCATCTGCTGTAAAAGGCTCAGAGGCCACTACAACTGTGGGAATATCGCATAAAGATCCTGGAGGAGAGGGCTTAGAAGTACAGAGCACACAGGGAGGTAGTGTGCTAGCAGTCATCCTGGAAGGGCTCTGATGTCACTCCTGTACACACTCTGAGCCATGGTGGCAGTTGAAGTGGCAGAATCATTGCCCCTTTTTGGTGGTGCCACCACTACACCCCACAGGAACTGTTACCTTGACTTAGGGCCTGATGACACAGTTCTTTTATTGGTGTTAGTGAACAGGAAATCTATTCTGTGCTGAAAATATTGTTTTTCACTGTACTGCCATTTTAAATGTATTCATCCCTGAATGATGCCTAGCTTTTTTTCTTATATAATAGTGATATTAAAACCATTTTACCTGATCAGTCTTACAAGTTACAGTATATTTAGTGTCTTTTGGGTATACTTCCTCTCTCTTCTCGTTTTGTCATTGCTTTAATAGTATAGTGTCACAATACTGTTTTATCCCTTCTCCAATTGGTTGTTCTTGGCAGCCCTTTAGAAGAATATGTTGGTGTGATCATATGACTGCACTACAACTTCTCCCATCTGTCTCCTCAATCATGTTTTTCACAGTATAGTTGTGCGATTAAATGCCAGCATCACTTCTCCATCCAACATCTTGTAAGGTTTGGACAGTTTATCGCTTCCCCTCTCCTCCTCTCCCACACTTTCAGCTGCAAAGAAGAAACCAATGTTTCTAGTTTCTATTGAAATCTCACAACTTTACAGGATATTGTATTAGTTATCACAAATGTTCAAACCGCTATCTAAATACTGCACAAATGAATGCATTTGACTGCCATAAGCCAAGGTTGATAGACGTGAGAATATTTTTACAAATGTAGTCTGATTCTGATTACATGGATCTACATCACCGCTGGATTGCCATAACCTATGGATGGAACTTGATTTTCTATGTCTCGACCTGTGTTTCCTGTTGTTCTGTGTGTGACCACGCTTTGTGTTTTTTTGTGTGTAAATTTAATAAAAAATTATTGAAAGAAAGAGCTACATCACCGAAAAGTGATCTTTCAGCGGTATGTATCTTTCAGCGGTATCTGTATGGAGATTTTTATGTTGGGTTCTCCCTTCCTTAGTTTCTGGATCTGTTTCCATTCACATTGGAGTTTTGGTATTCCTACCCACCTTGGTTTTTTCCCCCCCAATCCTGTTAAGTGGGTGGTACCTGAAAGCTGAGACAGATGTGCAGGATTGGTAACTCGAAGCATCAAAAACAGTTTTTAGAGATATAATGCTAAAATCTACCAGTTATTAGTAATGGGTGAATTCTGTTGACTTGTACATTTGTCGGGATCTTAGTAGTGGTCCAGGTCAGTCATTTTCAGTGCAAATATCTCCGTGCAGTGCTGATGTGGGATGTTCCACAATACCAGAGCTCCCATGTCTCACAGCTGGTCCATAGTCATGATGACCTCAAACTTAAATCCAATTTATATATTTTTTTTAAATGTAAAAAGATTTCTCAAATGTTTTGTCAAAACTGCAAATTGTCTTCTGTGTTGTTTCTGTTTTACTTATATGCAGAACCTGTTTCTGTTTTCTTTTTAAATTGCAGGGATTTCAAGAGTTGATGGCTGCAGTGGAAGATGGTGATTTGGAGAAATTCCTAGGACAAAACTAGGACTTTATATCTGCAGTAAAGGTGGAATCAATATCGGCAACCATTCTATACTTCCAGCGCGCTTGCTTCCAACACGCCTTACAAGCATTCCTTAGTATTCGGTGGTCTACTTCAATAGCATAGCTTTTTTTTTTTATATATACATGCATACTTTTTGTTAGTTTTTATTACAATCACTTCTAGTCATTCCAGTTTTGAAAAAAAAAAAGACATTCCTAAATTGACCACCATTCCCAAAGTAGCGCAGATAAACTGGAAATTAAGAGACCATTGACTGCCTTCCAATGTTACAAAACCCCCTTATTTCTGCTGGCAGCTAAGTGGTTACCTATCCCATTCATATCCTGACTGTGAATTCAACTTGTATATTTCCTGCCAAAGAGGAAGCAAGTCTTCCAGACTATTAATAAATTTGTTTCACATCATGAAAGTTCTTGTCATTTGTATGTTGTTGTTTTTTTAAGATTCGGAGGGTAAATTGGGATCTAGTGTTCATACAACATATGGCACACAAGGCTGTCATTGCACTTTTTTGTTTATGAAAAATATAATTTGCCTGTTTTATAAAGCTTCTCTGGCCAGTGTGTGTACTCATTTTCTTTTAAGTCGGGGTAAAATAAGTAGGTGGTATCCGATCTTTAGATAATTGTACTAATACATAATTTCCACGTTTTGTTTTGCTAATAACGTTTTAAACTTTACATTTTTTCCATTTTTAACTTTTAAAAAAAATGTAATTTCCATTTATTTTACTATTTTTACTTTATCGCCTTTTTTTTTTTTTACATTTTTATTTAGTTACATTTTTAATTAGTTATTTTTTATTAACTATTTTTTTTCACTTAACTTTATTGCTATCACACAAGGGATAACAAACCTCTGTGTGATAGCATTTGGAGGTGACCAGTACTCTTTATTGACCCTGTCACCTCCAACACAGGAGTTCTAGCACGGCACTGTGCTAGAACTCCTATGAGAAGAACGAGCAGCAGCCGGTAACAGAGGCTGAGGGAGGTGACAGAGCCTCACACCATTCCATGTGTCAGGCTCTGTCACCGTTCCACGCCCCCTGCTCTCAGCGCTCCACGCCCCCTGCTCTCGCTTGCCCGGAACTACATGTCCCGGGCATCGGGCGCTACGAATTCAACACCAATGCGCAAGCATCGGCGTTATGCATCGGGGGCATTTTCACAAATACTTGTGAAACTGCCTTGCATCGCTCCCGATACCGATGCTAGCATCGGTATCGGGACATCCCTAGCTAGAACCTCAGGTTTTCATTGCTGTGTGTTTTTTTTTTTTTTTTTTCCCCTCACTTGCTGTATGGACAAGAAGTAATGGGAAATATCTCCATTGAAGACAAACTAAAACATCTTTTTAGTGAAGTGGGAAAGGGTTTGAATTGATGAGAATGTTTTTGATTTGGTGAGTGTGGCTCCCTATTTCAGTGGCAGCAGCACTTCTGTTATGGGTGTCTTGGGGATGAAAATGTCTCCAGTGGGGTCATAGACAGAAATAAGAACCTGACAAAAAAAGTTACTTTCCCACTCTATCAAACATGAACAACATTGCTGGTGTTGGGCTTCAAAGATAAACAAGAACCCTGGGTTTTAAATAGGATGGTGAAGGGTTAGATCGCATGTCAGGTTTTTGCTAGTCATCCATAGCCACCGGGAGAGGTATTGGTCAGCAGGACAGGATGTGAGGGAGCCATTGCAAACTCTATCCACAACTAATACTGTGATAATGGAGTTGTATTGCCTTTGGGGAACGAACAGATATTAATTATACTCCTAAAAGGACTAGAGACAATTCTAGTGCTATGTAATCATCAAACAAAATACAAGAAGTAGATTCAGATACTATATATATATATATTTCAGAATAACTTCAGTTGTAGTTGCAAAACCGTGTATTTACTATGAAACGTAATACCTTTAATAAAAATTACATAGAAGCAGCATAAAAATAAAACACTCATAATTAAACCTAATTACAAAGTCTTTATCATCTATTCCAGTGGATGCCTAAAAGTTATTTTTGGGTCATTTGATTGCCATATGATACCCATTTACCAAGTTCATTTTTAAGGTTTTCTTCTCAGGAGGAGGAAAGCATTGGGTACAAGGGCAGCTTCTTGGAGAGTACATTCATTGTTCTCATAAACTTGATATGGCAATCGATTGATGATATTAAAGGCCTCTTCAGTAGTTCTGTAAATAAAGAGAAAAGATTAAGTATGATAGGAGCACACTCCATGCTGAGTATATGAAACTACTATTCACCTGTGTTGCGATAGGTAGTTCCGCAGATCCCCAAGGGTTTCAGAGGACAACATTCGCACCCTGTAGGTGTCCTCTCCATTCTCAGACTTGACTCTTAGTGTACAGACAACCACATCTGTCTGGGAGCTAGAATTACTTAAAAAAAGAATGCAAAACCATCATAATTGTGTTCTATTTCCATCCTTTATATTTAATTCAGTCTACTGACTACTCTCAGACTCCTGAGATCCCCTATCTAAAATGTTTAGTTTTTAGTCTTATCTAATGTTCTCAGATGGTGGACTAACGGAAATCAAATCACATCCTGGAAAGCACTTAAGAGAACTACGAGGTAAGTGTTTTTCCCCATAGTTCTCTTTAGGATCACGGGAGGACATATACTAACCTCCTCCCGTGACCCAAAGCTCAGTATATCGCAGGCTATTGCCCGCGATATACTGAGAGCGCCGCAGCAAGGACGGATCCTGACAATACTGTCTGGCTCCACCTAGCTGCGTGAGTGACAGCGGGCTCTGCCTACCGCCTCCCCGGTTCGTTCCTCCACTCAGCACTGGAGGATCGGAGAGGGGGGGGGGGGGGGGGGAATCCCTGCGGGGAGCTGACAGTCACTGCAGTTAGGTGGATTACTGTCGCATAGTAAACACGCATGTGTCCAGATGTCCCTGACTGATTTAACTTGTAGAAAACAATTGACTGACTGGGTTGCTTTTTCCCAGCTGATTGTCATTTTTGTTCTGAGATAAGCAGGTGTTGGAAATGTCATAGATAGCACAGACTGATAAATGCATGCATGGGCAATGTGTATCGCTGTTTATGTAAAGAACAATGTTAAGAAAGAGGCGGTTGGATCTACTTGTCTGACTTGCCGTCTAACATTTTACAGCTAACTATAGCCATAATTTCTATTTCACCACAAAGCAGAATTTAGCATGTGAATTATCAGCCCCTGTGTAACGGCATAATACAAAATGTTCCCACACACTTTTTTTTTTTTTATTGCATCTTAAAAAACAGCTTCAATGGGAAAGATCTGGCCTCCTAAAAGACCAAAAAAAGCTTCTCGGAATCGGACACCATCACCCTGGTATTTGCAGTTTTAACATGCTTGCTGGATAGTCTGTTGTAAAGTGGTGCTATCAAATACAACAGCCAACCACAGTAACTAGATGAAAAGTCTATTGCCTGTGTTGGAGATATTTACTCAACAGACTCCCTATCTATACAGAGACAAACATGTCTGTGCAAGTTTTATGTGGGAAACTTAAAGATCATCTTGCTCTTGAATCATTTCCTTCTTTTGAAATGTATTCAGTATACAGTGAACCTAAAGGGCGAAGCTAAGTTCATATGGGTACAGAAAACATAAGTCCAGTGCCCATGTTTTGCATGTTCTCTTCATCCTGCTCCAACAACGCTATCCAATAGAGGCACTTGTTAGCTGCTCAAATTGCATTGCAAATGCACCCTTTTTTTTTCTTCAATGTTGTGTACTTATCCTTAAATGAGAATTATGGGGAGAGTGAAATATACTCTTTCCCATATTTAGACCCGATGTGTTACACTGAAGCTGTCACACGCCAGCTCTATTGATCGGAAACTGAGTGATCACATATCGCTGATCGTTCATTTCCCGATCTTCTCCTTGCAGAGAGCGGTGACGGCAGTCACTGCTCCCGTCTCCGTTCCTCCAGTGCTGACTGGGGGGACGAACCGGCGAGGGGGCAGGCATAGCTGGCTCTGCCTCTAGAGAGAGCCCAATCAAGTGACGGGGTGGATGCCAACAATATTGTCGGAATCCGTCCGGGCTGCAGCGTGGCTCAGCTCTGTCAGCATATAGCGGGCAATAGCTCGCTAAATGCTGAGTTTTCGGTGACCCTAAAGAGAACTATGGCCTTCTAAGGATACACAATGTCAACAAAATACCATAAACCAACAAAAATAGGCATAAAATGCAAGTGTATATCTTTTCTATTGTATGCCTGGACCTCCAATATGTCTCCTGAACTGTTTGTGCAAATGGCATCCTGTTGAAAGTCGGCCATTTAAGAGCTCTCACGTTGCTGAGGTCTTGGTTGGTACTGCATTGCAGGATGTGGAGTAGGGCCTTGCCTATGCCTTCTCTGATATGTAAATGTTGGGTTATGCTATTTTTGTCGATTTACAGGTTTGTTTCTTCAAACAGGACCGTGGAAAGCAGAAACAGATCAATTCTCAGACTAGGCTTACCTTTTCTCCATTGATAACACATGGGGAGAGTCTACTAAGATTTGTTCTGTCTTTTCTCCTTTAGATCCCTATAGCAGACATACAAGATAAGGATCTAAACTTGTACAGAGCTGCAGTTGTAGGGCTGACTTATACAGATTGAATTGCTGATATTTTACAGCTGACTAGAAAAGCAGTAAAAAAAAAATCATGTTTTGAAGATATGAGATGTGGTGATTAATGTTTTGACACTTAAAAAAATACCAGAACACAAAGAAAAAAAAAATTGTCTCATGTCCTCATGATAAAAGACTTAAAAGAGAACTATGGGGTAAGTGTTTTTCTCCATAGTTCTCTTTAGAGAGCGTCCTCCAGTGACCCAAAGCTCAGTATATAGCGAGCTACAGCTCGCGGTATATTGAGACCGCCACAGCCGGAACGGATCCCGACATTACTGTGGAGAGCCACCCAGCTGCGTGAGTGACTGCTGGCTCTGCCTATCTAGAGGCCCAGCCAGCTGTACCCTCCACCGTCCGTTCCGCCAGTCAGTGCTGGAGGATTGAGGGGGAGGGGGAGGGAAATCCCTGCATGGAGCTGTGCCTGACAGTCACGGCTCTCTACAGGGACATGATCGAGAAGTGAGCGAGCGATGGTATGCGTTCACTCACTTCCCGATCTATTGAGCCGGCGTGTGACAGTTTCATTGTCACACGTTGGCTCGAACTATGAGGATGAGTGATTTTCACTCACCTCATAGTTCTCCTTTAAGGTCTGTACAGTAAAGCTGGCCATAGACGGATCGAATTTTGGCAATTTCTTGCTGAATCAGGCACCTGCCAAGAACACCCGGCTCTGCGAAGATCAAGTTAAAAATTGTCAGATGGACAAAACCTGCAACAAGCATAGGTGCTGGCCGCCAGAATAAATCAGCTGACAGGTAAAACTCCTTCAGGGTCTTTAGCGTGGATAGGAGAATCGGGTGATTTTTATATCCAGCTGTAGGCCCGGTTCACACCTGGGCATTTTGTAGCGCGTTCCAATGCTCTGCAAAATGCTCATACACCGAAATCCCATTATTTCCTATGGGTTTGGTTCACACCTGGGCGTATTACAGGCCGTATGAACGCGCTACAAAACGCCCTACGTCCAAACAAGTACAGGAGCTTCTTTGGGGCGTATTTGCCGCGCGTATCCATTAGGATACAGCCAGGTAGCCCTCGGAAATGCGCGTTTGTCGCGCATTTTTTTTTACTGCGAATCGTGGTAAAAACGTGCGACAAGCGCGCATATTCGATACGCCTAGGTGTGAACCCAGCCTTATAATTTAGACCAAAATCACATAAGGCTTATTATGAATATAAGTTCAAAGTTATAAACAAATGGCCAGTGTGGCACAGCCATGAAGGAGTTATACACACCTGCAGGGCTTCTCTTATTGGACCCTGAATATCCAAGACCTGACCACCGCGCACAACAGATTTTGGAAGTCGGCTCAAAAACTGATCAACGGATAGCTGGTGACCTGTTTAAAAAATTAAGACAATAAAGCCTATTGTAAACCTGAGTTACAATATATATTGTAAAAAAAAGAGAGAGGAGAAAGCATTCAGTTCCACTACATTTTCTTACTGACATCTAATAGAAGGCCTAATTAAAGTGTATGTATGGCTACAAGTACATTTATCCATGTTTTGTTTCTTTAAAAATGCTAAATGTATGGAAAAATACCTGTTGATCCTGCCAGAAATCCAGTGAACTAAATTACAGTGCAGTCTGCCTGTGCGTTTCACCAGTGAAACGCATCAAAAAATGTGTGTTTTAACACAGCACTAAGCTTAGGTGACCTTTGTGGATTTATAAATGGCTCTGGGTAGTGTAAAATCCCCACAGAACTGACATAATTAATCACACTCAGTATAATTGTCTATATGAGCACATGTTGAGACAGTGTTATACCCTGTGAACTTGATGTTTGAGCTTTTGCATTCCCGAAGGCTGTTTATGAAATATGAAAGTTAAACATCTTAAGGGGACCCAGTAGGTTACCCTATAATGAGCGAACATGGACAGTTCCCTGCATATGATTGGCACAGTTTATGCCAGTGACTCAGTCACTGTTGTGCGCACTTGCATGCACTGTTTTTTTCGCATGTTACCCTTCGTTGCCACAGAGGTTTTGTCCAAAGGAATGCAAGGCATGAGCCACATAACCTTTTGGACATAAAAGTATTCCAGTTCCTTCATTGTTCCTCCATTGGGCCCCAACAGGCCTGTATTCATGTGGAATGTGTTGTCCTTGTGATGAATCAACTGTGTTCTAATAGATTCTTATTATACAGGATTTATATAGCGCCAACAGTTTGCGCAGTGCTTTACAACATAAGGAAGACATTACAATACAATTCAAGACAAGATGGTAAGGAGGGCCCTGCCCGTGAGGGCTTAATACATGGTTTGTGATGAGCAAAGCCCTCGTCAAGCTTGTTTATCTACTATGTCCCTATGAAGTTCACTAATACTGGATCCACATTAAATATGTAGATAATCAACACTGCTTGCATCTGGAAAAATAGAATAATATTCGATGATACAAGGTTGCTGTGGATAAAATGACCCCATTGGAGCTGCACTTTAACACATATTTGTGGGTGAAGTTGGTGCCAAGCTTTCTAAACAACTTTGCTGATCTTGTATGGGCAACAGATGTTGAATGGCAGAAGATGCAAATTAGGATTTTAGGCCTAAAAGCCCTATTTTTAGGCAAGTGTGCAATTAAAGGCACGAGGAAGGGACTGTGGCAATTGCTTCATACATATTCCTTCATATGATTACATGCGGTTTGGAATAGATTGCTGTCTTTGGACGCAGGTTAGATTCATCCAGGGACAGCAATCTATTCCAAACTGCATGTAATTGTGCCACATGCGATTAAATGCGGATTGGCGCTTACAGATATGGATGCTGTCACCCAGTCATTACCTTGAACGGGTACAGTGGCCACAGCTAAACAGGACATAAGGGATTGCTGCCTCAGAAATTCCAAATAACATAGTGTAAATGAAGCCTTGGTGCTACAGAATAATGTATACCTTTAATATGTATGTACTTACCTGGTAACTTACTGGTCTCTCTTACGTTACCCTCTGTGCCTCCAATAGTTTGACCAGCGCCAGGAAATTCATCCCATGACCTTCTCTCTCGAAACACCACATCACGCAAATCTTTAACCTGCACAGAAGTATTTATCTTATAAGATAGTATATTTATTATAAGATAGTTAGCTGTAGCAAACTATCTTATAATCATATCTGCAGCAAACTGGAAGGACTAAGTGAAAGGTATTTACAAGAAATTAGTTTAGACTAAACCTTTACAATGCTGCTCCATATCATAGATATTGATTAGTATTTGGGAAACTATCCTTAGTAACCCGGTTAGTCGCTTACAATAATGGCTATTTCCCTGAAACAGAAGATCTGCTATACTCAGCTCTCTGGTTGCCCATGTCTCTTGTCTTCCTTTTGTTTCAGCGCTGTAGCTTCCCATCATATTTTTCAACATTGGACACCTCCAGAAGTGCAAAGGTCCCTACATCCACTGCTGCGCACCATCAGGGGTGTATCTGCCGCGAGGCAAACAAGGCGTTTGCCTCGGGTGGCAGATTCCAGCAGGGCGGCGAATGTACCGGCCCGCGAGCCGATACTTCGTGGCCGGCAGCAAGCTCACAAGTCAGGTACGCGCTCAAGGACCGAGTACCTGACTTGCGGGAGCAGCTACAAGGTCTGGATCTCTGTCGGATGCAGAGCGTGTAACTGAGTCTGTGCCGGCACCCGGATCCTTTCGACCAGCGCTCTTTCAGTGAACGCTGGCCGAAAAGATTGTGCAGGATCGATTGATGAGGTCTGCAGCAGACCCCATCAAACAATCGCCAACAGACCGGGACGGACGTTCACCACAGATCCTGTAGAGACCACCACAGATCCTGCAGAGCCCACCTGAGACCACAGCCAGGTGGGGTAAATTTAGTGTATGGGGGGGGGGGCGCCCGAGTTTTGTCTTGCCTAGGGCAGCCCCAAACCTAAATACACCACTGCGCACCATGGTTCCATCCTTGAACCCCTTCGTCACTACAGGATAGACGTGAGGTAGGGTTGGAGGATAGCACCATATTGGACAGCAGGGGACACAGGCTATACTCAGCTCTCTGGTTGCCCATGTCTCTTGTCTTCCTTTTGTTTCAGCGCTGTAGCTTCCCATCATATCTTTCAACATTGGACACCTCCAGAAGTGCAAAGGTCCCTACATCCACTGCTGCGCACCATGGTTCCATCCTTGAACCCCTTCGTCACTACAGGATAGAAGTGAGGTAGGGTTGGAGGATAGCACCATAATGGACAGCAGGGGACACAGGCATCCAACACACTTGGAAGTGATGAATGCTGAAAAATCTGTCTGGAAGTAACACTGGGAGAGAGGAAAAGCAAGAGGCATGGGCTGCCAAAGAGATGAGTCTTCATAATGAGTAAAAGAGAACAGCTCTTCTACTGCAAGGAACAGCTATTTATCTTTATAAATGACTGAAAGGGTCACTTTAACTGCATCTTCTTTTTCAGTAGATGAGAGACAGAATTGGACCCCTTTCCAGTCCTATAGGCCAATTTCTGACATTTCAAAATATATATATAAATCAGTGTTGGATGTACACAACTGTATTAATGCAAATGGTTCCAAAAACAAGATCCATCACCTAAAGCTCTGTGAATGTCCTTTTCCACAAATACAGTTCTGAATGTAAGGTGAACAATGTCTGTGACTGATTAAAAGCTCCAGCAAAATTATCTGGAGGTGTGTGGCCAGTGGGGTCTCTTGGCTGGTGGGTAGGGGAACGATGTGCGCTCTGTTCTATGTGTGAACAGATATGGGGGAAGGCGAGGAGGTGTGTGGGTTGGCATACACCGGGTTGGCAACACTCACCATCCGGGCCATACCTCCCCTGGTCCCTGTAGTGCGAGTTAGCCCGCACTCATCCGCGTCTCCCGCAACCATCGGTCCCCTTTCGTTGTAGGGCTCCAGCAACACACTGCGCTTGGTCCCTGGCAAAGGTTCGTGTCCTTGAACATTGGGACCGGCTTGCCCACTTCCAACCACTGATGCTCTCACTGGCATTCTGTCCTCCCCAGCTCCAAAGGTGTATGCCAACCCGCACACCTCCTCGCCTTCCCCCATATCTGTTCACACATAGAACAGAGCGCACATCATTCCCCTACCCACAAGCCAAGAGACCCCACTGGCCACACACCTCCAGACTCGGGGTTAACCACATCACCGGCTGTGATTACCACTGTAACCACCACACCTCCCTCTTCAACACTTGTGTGAAACTATCACACGATTTCCTGTAAATCACCCAGGACAACCTCCATGCAATCTTCCAGCATCTGTAAAATACCGGTACACCACAGGCCATCCTTCTAAGTGTAATCATCAATCCGGAACCCTACCCCCACCACAACACCTTGGATTCCCATCAATCCACCTCTCGTCAATGACATTGCGTCATCACTCACTTCATGGTAAGTTGTTATTTACCGCACTTCTTACTATTTCCTGATAAGTCACCTTTTGGTAGTAGCGTTTCTGTCTTCATTTTTTCTGTTCTCACTGACAAACGTCGGACACCCCGGTCCGCACATAAGAGAAGCAGCACACCTAGCAGTAACATCCATACCCATACGTCCTCATCCTCGTTTAGCGGTGTATTAGGGGACAACTCTCCTAACTTTTCATTGTAACATAGGGCTCTACCTAGGATAAAATCGGTATCTAAATGCACGGCACAAGCATCTCAAACAGCTATAAATAGAGCTATATTTTAAAGATTTGTTGTTGTGGATTACTACCAAAGAGAACTGTATACAACTGTCATTGGGCTTGATGAGATAGAGAAGATGGTTACTAAACCTTTATTTTCTTTTTTTCCTCTATTAAACATTTTAATTTTAATTTAACTTATTTAAACTATCTTAACTAATGTATCTGCACTACTAACCCTCACATACAGTGTCCAGCAAATGGCACTACTGCCAACCTTTTGCCACTTTAGTCAATTTAGGGATCCTAAGCCCTCTCACCTGAAATGTTACACCTTCAGGAAAGCGTGTCTGCAACTCGGAGGGGAAATATCCATCCATGATATCTTTGAGACATTGCTGCAAAACAAAACCAGTGTTCATTATGAGGTTTTACTTAATATGTTTCCTTGATCTACACTTCATTCTGGTTGGTTAACTTACCCGAGTTGATGGATCTTCATAAGATCGAAATGGCCCCTGAAACATAATGATCCCATTCTTGTATAATGTCAGCAGGATAGGGTCAGGGGGTTTCAGACGGGCTGCCCTTTCACTGTACTGTATTTGTGAAACACCTTCTCCACCAAGAACATTTAGGTCTCTCAAATTCTCAATAATCAGGTCATAATCAGGTTGGAAAGTGTTCGAAGAGAGCCCTGGAAATGTGTGGAGATAATCAAATTAGGATTCTTAAAAACTGTCATTTGCTGAGAAATGTGGTGTTATTCTCTGTCCGCTCACCTGAACTGCTGCCGGTGGTTTTCTGCTCTGCAGTGTTAGTTGAATCATCATCTCCAACCCATATAAGACCATAATCACTCAAGAAATGCTGAGAAAGGACATTACATTTATAACAATTGATAAATGAACGCTGTGCTATATACAACAAGAATTCATTCTACAATGAAACTTTAATAACGCATGAAATTTAATTAATGAATGGTTACATTTATTTAGATTTACAGCTAAGATCTGGTTCTCCACTCAATTTAAAACATATAGAACATGTGTGGGCAATCTTCCTCAGCATTTCACAGCTGGTAGGGACAAGCATAGTGAACATGCCTCTCACAGACCCCCAGAAACTTGATGCAGGACACATATAGACTGTGTATTCTGGCTATCAGGTTTAGTAGATCAGTGAAGTCATATTAGTGATCCAAACATCCTCAGGAATTGAGACAAAATTGTGCAGAGGTTATATGTGAAAAAAATCTAAATATACTCTATACTATGGAGCCCTTGGATCCTGTTTATGGATTCTCTGAACTTTAAAGACTCTTTCTAAATGTGAGATTCTGATGCCTCTAGGTATGTGTGGTAGTGAGAGTTGAAGATATTGGGTGCATCCATTAATCCCAGTGGCAGTACTCGTGCTGTCAATTAATATGGCCCCAGTACACTGTGGGAGTGAGCCCCCTGCATTGTGTCTGTGCATGCCCTGTTCTTTTGTTCTCATTTTCTTCCTTATCCTTTCCCTTTTTTGTCTTCCTCCCTATAGCTCCCTATTCTTTTCTGTCTCTCTTCTGCATTGTGAGGGCTTCGGATTGATCCATTCTACGAGGCCTATGAACAATAAGGAGCCCAATCCCTGGGTGCCCCTCTGGGACCTTTAATGCCTGATTATGTTTCCAGTTGTCTTATGTTCAGTGTCCACTCATATGTCTTATAATATGCTCGGGTGGCTATCTGCACGCTGTAAAACACTACATAGTTCTGGCTTTCAATAAACTATGATTATGTAAAACAAAAATCTAAACAGCTGATTTTACAGAGAGGTTTTTTTCAGTTTCATTTGGAACAGAATTTCCATTTTACTACCAGGTTCAATCCAAACAATAGACATGGGAGCGGTGCAGAACATGCAAACAAAAGGTCTGAATTTAATACTTGTTGACCGATTCCTCATTTGCTACACAATGATTGACTTGACAAGATATACTGTATAATTATGCAAATAAAAATGCTGACAACAAAGAGTTAACCTTGTGCCACTTTTCGTTATAGGAAATATGAAGCATGCCATTGTTCCTTCCATTCCTGCAGTGCTAGTTGCTTTGCTGCCATGCTCATATGTTGGCTTTATTAAATACAGGATATTTATATAGCACCACAATTTACACAGTGCTTTACATATTGTACATTCACATCAGCCCCTGCCCTCTATGAGCTAACAATCTAAGGTCCCTATTAGGGATGTCCCGATACCACTTTTTTAAGACCAAGTACAGGTACAAGTACTGTCCCTCATGTACTTGCCGATACCAATTACTGATACTTTTTCTTAACGGGACATGTGACATTTTTTCTAAAACAATACAGACTCATGATTTTAGGGCAGTTTCTCATCAGGGCTAAATACGGATGTCACCAGAACTGAATACATTTCCACAAAGCCGAACACATGCCCCCACAGCAGAATAGTATTCTGCTTTGGACATATGTATTCTGAGAATACATGTCCACAAAGCAGGATACATGTACCCAAGGCAGAACAGTATGCTGCTTTGAGGACATGTATTATGAGAATACATGTCCACAAAGCAGGATATATTTCCCTAAGGCAGAATAGTATTCTCCAGCTGGAACATGTATTCTGCTTTGGGAACATGTGTTCTGCGAATACATGTCCCCAAAGCAGAATTCCTCTCACCAGGCTGCGTCTCGATCTCACCGGGTGACGTGGACATCTGCAGTGGCTCTGAGAGCCCTCCACCTCACCGGCGATATCGGGACCCGGGCCTCCCCATGTCCAGTCTGGTCGACTCTCTGTGCTGCTGGGCCCCGCGATTTTCGTCCATCTCCCGGCCCAGTCCTCCCCGTCAATGTGCGGCGGGAACCCCAGCTTCTAGCCCTGGGGCGGTAGTTCCGCCCCCGGGGCTGTCCATGGCAGTGCCTGCACCGAGAAGGAGGAGATAAAGAACCGGACAGGCACTGCTATGGACAGCTATCTGCAGGTCCCCAGCAGGCTGCCGAGGTCCCCAAAAGCGCAAGAACACAGACGGCCGCTTCTGTTTGAAATTTAAAGGGCTGGTATCGGCCTTAAGAATCGGGGCATTTTCACGAGTACAGGTACTCGTGAAAATGCCTAGTATCGGCCCCGATACTAGTATCAGTATCTGGACGTCCCTACATCTCATGCATTCATACACACACACACACACACACACACACACACACACACACACACACATAATAGGGCCAATTCAGATAGGAGACACTTAACCTACCAGCATATTTTTGGAATAGGAGATGAAAACCAGATTACACAAGTACAGGGAGAACATGCAAACTCCATGCAGACAGTGTACTGACCAGGATTCAAACCCCCAGTGCTGCAAGGCAGAAGTGTTAATCACTAAACCACTGTACTGCCCATCACCTTCTGCATCACTGACCCCAAAAAGTATGTTTAAGGATTACTGACTTCACTCGTCAAATGTTTGTTCCAGATCAGACAATTAGAGAAGTAATGAAGCCAGAGACATATGGAAAGCCTTTTGGAAGCAATGGAGGCTTATATATCTATAGATTTCTCAGCGAACAGAAATCAGCAACCATCCAACGAGTACACCAGATTCCAAACAGAACTGAATTTCGGCATACAGTGGCACTAATCTTTAGAATATCAGCCAAACATCTTTATGTAAGTGCAAGCCTATATGCTAAGGCAAGGGTAGGCAATGCCGGCACTCCAGCTGTGGTCAAACTAAAATTCCATTAGGCATTGCAATTACCCTAACAATAGCAGACACAACTCCCAAAGGCAGAGGCATGACAGGATTTCACCACAGCTGGAGTGCCAAGGTTGCCAGATCTAAGGAGTTGCTTCTTTCATATGCACAGACTTCATGCTTCACAGTTTATATATTGTTACTGACCTCCATATCAGAAATTTGTTTCTGTAGTTCCTGGCATCTATTCTCCAGTTCCTGAACGTGCTGCTCTGACGAAGAATGACCTGAAAGGTAAATATGGTTATTGTAATGTGACACACTGCTGGAAGTTCTCAGATGAACAAGCCTGCTGCCCACCTGTCCTCTGCTTTTGCAGCTTCTTGAGCTTCTGCTCTAGTGCAGCAATCTCTTGATCCTGAAAAAAACATAGGTGAGATTTTCACAGCTTTAAACGACCTCACCCAAAAAGGGGGTTTTATTTCTGACCTTCAGTTCGATCTCCCGTGTTTGCAGGCGCACTCTGGCCTCCAACTCGCTTACTCGTTTCACTGTAGTGCTTAACAGATCAAGATCACTGGGAACATAACCTATAACAAAACAATGTCATTTTTTTTTCTGGAATACTGCTCATATCTACTGTGCAAGGCTGTAATGATTCAAATACTGACCCTGCTCTTTGCCCAATGCGCTGTGTTCTTTCTGCTGTGGGAACATGTTCAGGAATCGTGGACTTGATACTGAAAGGGGTAAACAAATCTCTGTCATCTATAAAACTTATTACCAAAACAGGGTGATAATAGAGTGATAATAGAGTGACATTTCAGGCAGCTCAGTGGTGTAGAGGTTAGCACTTCTGCCTTGCAGCACTGGGGGTCTCCAGATCAAATCCCAGCCAGGGTCACCATCTGCATGGAGTTTGCATGTTCTCCCTGTGCCTGCATGGGTTTCCTCCAACACTCCAAAGACAGGCTGGTAGGATAATTGGCTAGTCTCTAAATTGGCCCTCTTTGAATGCATGTGAGATAGGGACCTTAGATTGTAAGCTCCTTGAGGGTAGGGACTGATGTGAATGTGCAACTATGTAAAGCGCTGCATAAATTGTTAGCACGATATAAATACCTGTAATAAATAAATATTTCCATTTTGGGTACAGAAATCTAATAAATTACTTGCTGGTTTCTGTGGGGCTCCAGTCATGAAATGTCACACAGAAGCAGTAGTTTGTGTCTTTATCTCCTCCCAGCAGACTAAAAGGAAGGTGTAAAAATCAAATATGACTCTCAGGCATTAGGTGCTGCATTTTGGGGAGGCAGTGGGAGTGTCACATGTGCCCCTATACCTGTTACAAACTGAATATACAATTTCAGTACTGTCAACTTTACATTTACCAAAACTATTTAATGTGAGGACCTACCTTATACATTTAACCAATCTGTATCCAATCAGGCAGGCCCTTGTACTACATAGTTGTTGATAGATCTAAATGAGATTGTACAACCAGATTCCAATGTGTGCGGTGAGCTTAAGTGCCAGGGATATCTTTGGGCTCTGGCGGCAGATCAGAATGGTAAAACCTGTTACTCTGCCTAATCTGTGTACATTTAAAGTTATTATATTGCTCAGGTAAATATTTTGAGGCACCATGTAAAAGAATAAGTTAAAATTTTTGCGTGTCCACTGGGCAGCGACACCAACCTTCGCTCTCTTGCAGAGCTAAGGGTGCTGCTCCTGTTTATGGCTTGCTGTACACATTTCAATGTGAGTATAAAATCTCTGTACAATCACTTTGGATCTACAAAAAGTATGTAATATGAGCACCTACCTAATCTATCTGATCAGTTTACTGACTATCCAATATGAGGATCTATCCATCTATTCCAATCAGGCAAGCCCTTGCACTACACAGCTGTTGATAAATCTAAAGGATATTGTACAGTCAGATCGCAATATGTGTGGTGAAACTAGCACTTCTGGGTGTGCCAGAGCATTTCCCCTACTGCAAGCTATGGTTCTACCTGCCAGCTGTTACATCACTACAGAACACAAAAGTGACACAGCAGTCAGCACAGCATACAGAAGGGGACATGCTAACTAACATGGCAGCGTTGGATAGCAGCGGTGACCATAGCGCAATGGAAAGGTTGAAATCAGACAGGTAAGTAACAAACATGTTCTTTTTCAGGGTGCCCCGTTCAAATATTTTTATCCAAGCAACAGGGTCGCTTTAATTTGTCACTTTCCTCCAAGTCTCTGTTCTCATCTGCATTTGCTTGTGTTTTTGTTGGGAATATTTCATGCATTTTAGAGCATTATGCATGTTTGTTTTGGCCAATGAAGGTGGAATAAAGCGTAGGCTGCTGGGAGGGGGGTTGTCATAATCTAAGATGCACAACAATTCATTTTCATTGAAGTCTATGGGGTCAAAAACACTCTGCCTAGCACCAAAAGCTACTGTGCTGTTACACAAATCACACTGCCTCATGTTGCATGTATGGATGTGAATAGGCACCATAGAGAATAATGGGATTTCCATTATCATGTACTGATGCACGATGGAAGACACGCGGCTAATCATACTAGTGTGAATAAAAACTATGCATGGTCTGATACGGTCAGATTAGTATTAGAGAAAAACAAAACATCCTTATTTTTGTTTATTAATATCTATGTGTTGTTATTCTGTATCACTATCCAACGAATGTTCTTGCTTTTGTTCTTTATTGAAACAGTCAACTCACCTAGGTTACCAACAGGGTCTTTAAATGGTGCAGCTCTTTTCCTGCAAATACAACCATTAATGATGTAAATAAGTAGAACAAAAGCAGAAATACATTAGCTTGGTCTCTGTAATGACTTATGTGCAGGGCACTAATTACCCAGTTCTGGTCTGTCCTTCATGCTTTGACGGCTCATCCACCCTCCCGGACATCTCACTTCCTTCCTCGTGTCTCAACTGATCCCTACACTGCCCACCCTGTCCCGGCAGGGTCCTTATCCTTCTTGGTTTCCCTAAAGTAAATAAAGGACTGCTCATGTTGCACTCACTGCGCCGCCATATTGTTTTGGAGTCGGTATCTAGGCAACCGGAACTTCTGAGAGAGCGGAGCGCTGACGGTCACGTGACACTGAGAAGGCTGCGGCGTGTGTGTTTGTGTCTGTGTCTGAGGCATGCAGTGGGGTGCGGCTGATGTGAAATCATCTTTTCCTACTGTTTGTGTTTATTGGCGCATCAATATTTATGAATTAGAGGCTACGTTTATTATCTTATATATGAACAAGAACCATTGTCACAATGAGCAGAAGGTGTGGTCACGTTTAGGGCCCATTCACACCAATTGCAGTGCGTTCCAGAGCAGTAACTGCTGAAAACGCACAGTAGTCACTCACTAAACTTCCCCCTGCGTTATGGGGCGGAAGATTGGTGGTGCATTGAAGTTAATGGTAATGCAGCCACACCCCGGAAAGATGGCAAAACATTGCCTGTGTTCCATTCCACTGCGAACACAATCAAAAATGCTGCATGCTCTATTTTTTGCATTTGCAGTGGACCGGAACGCAGGCAATGTTTTGCCACAGCAAGGGGTGTGGCTGCTGTGCTATTGACTTCAATGCACTGCCCCAGAACGAAGGGGGAAGTTTGGTGAGCGATTTCTGTGCGTTCCAGCAGCTACCTCTCTGGAACAAGCTGCAATTAGTGTAAATGGGCCCTTAGGCTTTGCAAATGCGTGGTTAGGGATTCTTGCATCAGGAATACTGGGTGTGCCCATTCAGATGTGGCCACTGTAATCCTGCAAGTTAATAATGGTGACAGCAGCTGCATCTGCCCCATATGTCATTGTACATAGATGCTTTTCTTGGGAAGCAAGCTATCTGTGTCCAGGGACAAATATCTCTTACTTTACAGCTAGTTATGAATGATGTGTGTTTGCCATTTGTTTTACTTGTTGGATTTGGTGTGGGGACACACTGGGGGCTTCAGCTACTGTTATGATGTGCTTGGTGTCTGCTGTGTCCCTGTACTTTTAAGGAAGAATGGTCTACTTCTTGGTGTACCTGCACCCAATTCATCCTTTGATATGTTTGCTCCAAGATGCAGGCTCTCATAGATCAGAGTTAGGACCACACTATACAGATGAGGCAGTGTGACTTCCACATATTCTGCAGAAGATGTACAACTAAAACCTCTGTTTCTAACGCAAAGTCCTCATTCACACGAGAAATGGCCGGCACGTACAGCTCCGTGCTGTGTGCACAGCTGTATCGGGCAGCTCCCGGGAAGGACAGGCGCTGCGTGTGATTTGTACACAGTACCTGTCCTTCTCTATGGGACTACGGGGCAGTACGCCCCCTACACTCACCCCAAGTGCAGATCCGTACGGGTGCGGGTGTCCCGGCTCGGACGCAGATAGGATCCATCCTGTCAGTGTACGAGTACGGACACCCACACAGACGTGTAGGGCGGCGTATAGCCGTGTAGTCCCATAGAGAAGGACAGGGGAAAATAGATGTAAAGTAACAATGTGCAAAAATAAACTAGCAGTAGTTTAAAGGGTATGTAGACTAAAGCTATAAGCCTAGGTAACAAATTGGAGGACCTTGAACTGGTATTACTCGAGGAGGCTTTTGACTTTGTAGGAGTAATAGAAACATGGCTGGACAGCTCGCATGGTAAGTACAACCTGTTTCAGAAGTGCAGGTTTGGTAGCAGGAGAGGAGCGGTATGTGAAATTTAACCACTTCCGTCAGTAGACGGCGGTTTGCAGAAGTGGTTAAAACAAGAACACGGCTGCTGCTGCTGCAATGTACAAGCGATCCGGCAGATCTCTGCTTCCTCAGCTTCTTTGGGGTCCTTAGGCGAGGTCTGAAAGACCCTTGATGTCTCCATAAATAGGACCTGTCACACCATATCTGCTATTACATAGTGTTTAAAAATAAAAAAATGCAAAAAAATATTTTTTAAGTCCCCCGCCCCCCACATGGACGCACATACACACACAAACACGCATCGGTGCACCTACGTGCAAAAACGACATTTGCGCTACACATGTTACATATCGCCGCTAACGTCGGAGTGAGAGCAATAATTCTAGGGCCATCAATCACTGTTAACACTAAACTAATGAGTGGTTAAAGTGTTCCCTAACGGAAATTTTGGGTATTGACGCTTTTTGCGGCTTCACGGTTGAGCGCAATTTAAGGCTTGACATGTTTGGTATCTTTTTACCCGACGTGATCCCATTGTTTATATTTTACCAAAAAATTGGGTATTATATTATGTTTCTGTGCACAAAATTTGAATTTAGTTTATTTTTTCCTAAAAATACTGGTTTGATAAACATTTGCGCAAAAAATGTGCGACATAAAAAATTGCAACTAGCATTTTTTTATTCTACAGGACCTCTGCTTTCAGAACATATATCATTGTTTGGGGGTCTGAAGCTGTTTTCTAGCCAAAAATGTATATTTTATGTGTGTGCAAATACTAAGAACATGCTCCGGACAGCAAGTGGTTAAAGAGCTAAGCCAAGTTATAGCAAAACCATTGTTCCTAATTTTTAAGGACTCCTTAATGACTGAAAGCAACTGTTGTACCAATGTTCAAAAAAGGTTTAAGATGTGTAACTGGGAATTACAGACCAGTCAGCCTAATATTATCATTATTAGGGATGCACTGATACCAGTTTGTCGGTATTGAGTACGAGTACTGATATTTATATTTTGGTACCTGCCCGATACCGAGTACCGATACCGGTACTTCCGCTAGCATGGAGCCAGCTTCCCCAGGATTTAGGAAGGCTTCTTGATTGACCAGGAAACCGGCTCCATGCTTTTTTGCTGGCTCGATGTTGATTGGTCGGGAAACCGGCTTCCCAGCCAATCAACATCAAGCCGGCTTCCCAGTCAATCAGGAAGCCGGAAGGCAGGTCATTACCTGCCGTCGGCTTTCTGATTGGCTGGGAAGCCGACTCCATGTTCCCTGGTGGAAATCTCCCTCTGATTGGAAGTTCCAGTATCGGAGCATTTGGTCAAGTAAGAGTACTATCCCAAATGCTCGGTATCGGCACCAATACTAGTATCGATATTGGTGCATCCTTTACAAAACTGAGGGAGTGTCACGTAACCGCCCCTGTTCGAGGTTTGAATCTGGGTCTCTGGAGCGGAAGTGCACAGACCTAGCCATTCAGCCACTGGAAGGACTTGGTTTCTGCTGCAGGTTCTGTGTACTGAGCAACTCTCCTTATGGACACTTTGGCTTCCAACCAGCTGTAGGAGATCTGCAATTATCTCAGGCTTTAAATACCAGACACTCCCTGTGCTCTGAGCCTGTTGATTTGGGTTAGTTCCTGTGTGAGCTGCCTCTGTGTTATATGCTGCATTTACACTGTGACTCTTGCCCTTTTCCTGACCATTCTTCAGCCTGCCGATTTTGTACCTTGCTGCCCGATCGTGTTAAGACCTCAGCCTGCCTCCTGACTACTCTCCTGGATCCCGGCCTTGTACCTCGCTGCCAGACTGTTGCCGACCCTGCCTGCCTGACCACGTCTTCGCCTTATCCTCAGCCTAAGATCCACTTCGGACTCAGCCTACTACAGGTGCGTTTCAGGGAGACAATACAGTTAACAATACCATTTCAGTACAGGAGGTAGAAGGGCCCTGCTAGTGAGAGCTTACAATCTAGTAATATCAATAATATGCAAATTACTTGAGGGAATGAGAAAAGACCATATTCAACAATTTACACATGCTCATGATATCATAAGTGAACTGAAAAAAGTTTAACCATAAACTGCGAAGGGGATTCTTTACTGTAAGAGTGGTAATTGTGGAACTCTCTTCCACAGGCAGTGGTTTCAGCTAAGAGCATTGACTCATTCGAGAATCTTTTAGATGCAAATTTCTTGTAACTCATACACATTAACCCACATAGGTGGAACTCTATGGACCTGTTTCTTTATTCAACCTTAACAACTACGTACCTTCATTAACATTTCAATGCAAAAGCCAGGGTTGTAATCCTTTAACCCCTCACAACCCTTCTAACATTACAAAGGAGAAGCAGCCCGTAAGAAGCCAAGAAACCCTAACCTAAGTAAAAATAATTTAAAATGCATGAAGCATTTTTTAAATATATGTTTAGATTCTGCTTTGTGAATGGGAACCTGTAACAAATATATAATATGTGTTATCCCATTTTGGCTGCAAAAGTGGAAATACACTTTAAAAGAGAACTATGGGGTAAGTGTTTTTCCCCACAGTTCTCTTAAGGGTCACGGGAGGACATATACTAGCATCCTCCTATGACCCAAAGCTCAGTATATCGCGAGCTACAGCTCGTTGTATACTGAGACCGCCGCAGCCGGGACGGATTCTGACATTAATGTCTAAATCCACCCTGCTGCGTGAGTGACAGCGGGCTCTGCTTATCTAGAGGCAGAGCCAGCTGTACCCGCCCCCTCCCCCGTCTGTTCCTCCACTCAGTGCTGGAGGATCGGAGGGGGGAAATCCCTGCAGGGAGTCGTGACTGACAGTCACTGCTCTCTGCAGGGAGATGATCGAGAAGTGAGCGTCGGCTCGAGCTATGAGGATGAGTGATTTTCACTCACCTTATAGTTCTCCTTTTAGGTATTGACAAAGTTATTGCTGAATAAACAGTCACATAGCAGAAAGGTCAAAATTGCTCTGGTCTATAGGGGGTGTATACGTATGAGAGATGAAATGGTTAATGAATGACATGTTATTACTGGAGGCTGGTAACAAGATAAAGTCAGGCATTTATGATAGTTGTAAGTAAAAATATATTCATACAGGATTATACAAGTACAATAAATGGTGTTTTTTGGTCAATACATAATTGCACAGAGTTCAGCTTTAAAGTTAATCAGTGCCTTCCAGCTATTGCTCCTTGGACTGCTAGTGGTCTGTATATTTATTGCTGCATGTTTATGGTCCCCTATAATATAATAAATTATATAACTGATTAAAACTTTTTGTTTATTACTTTTATTCTCAAATCATATATTTTGTTGCCTGCCTTAAACTCTCACCCTATTTATGTGGTTATCATTTTAATCTGTTGCAAAGCTGAGAGCTAAAGACGTTATGAATAAAATATAAACCGTCCAGCATAGTATCAACTGGTTTAGAAAGCTGGGGAATGAATTAAGCAATA